GCCCCGAGTGTGGTGTCCTGGAAGGCAGTGACGAAAGGGGACGTGTCCAGTGCTATGGAAGGATGTGAGGGGACGGCTGAGGCTGGCCACCAAACCTAGCAACTAGAAGGCGACCCTGGTAGGAGCACTGGGGCGGCAGCCTGGCAGGTGAGTTCCAGAAAGGGAGAGGACACGGGGCCCAATGGCTACTCTCGCCCAGAAGGGCTTTACCGCAAAGGGGAGAAGGACACAGGGCAATGGCTGAACAGAGGGGATTAAAAGAGGGAATGTCTTAACGATAGGAGGGTAGATCTGGTCTGTATGCTGTTGAAAATAATCCAATGGACAGGGGAGAATGGAAGACGCAGGAAATTAAATTTTCTGTCGCAGCAAAATCAAGTTCTGGGTCTCTACAGTATGCTGTGATATCAGAGGATCACTGACTACTGGAAGCTTCCTAGAAAATATTACATTTTAGCCTAGGATAGGTTCATGCTATAAAAAAATGCAGTTCTGTTTTAAGAAGTGCAGTTACATTACTCAGCTAGAGAGCTCAAATACAGCTAGCATCATTTCTTAAAGAGTTCAAAGAGATCTTCTTCAGAGATTATCTAGGCTAGGACTCCTCAAACATAACCTAAAAAGCAGGGGGCCTGGGTGGCTCAGTTAGGTAAGTGTCCGACTCCTGGTTTCAGCTCAGGTCATGAGCTCATGATTCGTCAGATTGAGCCCTACATTGGGCTCGGCGCCACTCTCCCTCTCCCTCAAAATAAATAAACTTAAAAAACAACAACACCTAAAAATCAGAAAATCACCTGAAAAATCTTACTGGATTCCACCCCGGGGATACTCATTCAGTGGGGCTGGGCTGGAGCCCAGGAATTTGCCTATTTAAAACAATACTGAGGGCTCCTGGGTGGCTTAGTAAGTTAAACGTCTGACTTCGATTCAGGCCATGATCGCACAGTTCGTGGGTTCAAGCCCCACACTGGGCTCTCTACTGTCAGCATGGAGTCTGCTTCAGATCCTCTGTCCCCCACTCTCTCCCTCTGCCCCTCTCCTGCTGGTTCTCTCTTTCTCTCTCTCTCAAAATACATACTTCAGTTGGGGATCCTGGGGTCCACTGTTAGAGAGATCACGGCTATGACCCAAAATCTTGGATTTCTGACTACTGGTGCACTGCTATCCTCTCCCACGTCTCTATCTGGGCTTATAGATACAAATTAATGGCTCCTTTTGGTAAATTGAACACATTCCTTAAATTCCTAGTTAACCTATACATTCCTCAGATGGGAGGCAGGATCAGGATAGACTGGGAGCAGCTGTGGAGTCAGGCAGAGCTGGGATCCCCCAGGGCTCCATTACTCACTGGCTATATGACCTCAGACAACTGAATTTACATTCTCAGCCAGATGCCTCAACTATAAACCCCTATCATCAAATGAGATTACTTATAAGGATCAAATACACCATCACGACATTGCCCAGCGTAAGCCATCTGTCCTTTCCATACAGTACTGTATCTCATGTACCATTAAACATAAACCCACATGTTCTCAAACACTGGGATATCCCAGAAGCCATACTCTCTAAACTCAAGTGGCTGCCAAACTTGTTCAGATGGGCTCCTGCGGTGTAGAACATCAATGATGACATAATTTCATGATACAAACTATGTAGTTTTGCTAAGAAAAAGAAATGCAGTTACTAATACATGCAAGATAAAGTTCACACACGACATCGGGCACAAAGCTGCTATCTACTGCTACATAAAAACTGCCCCCAAAGCATAGGGGCTGAAAACAATGATTTACAGGGCGCCTGGGTGGCTCAGTCCATTAAGTGTCCAGCTCTCTGGCTCAGGTCACAACCTTACAGTTTGTAAGTTCAAGCCCCACATGGGGCTTTCTACTGTCAGTGCATAGCCTACTTGGGATCCTCTGTCTCTCTTTTCTACCCCTCTTCCGTTCGTGCTCTCTCTCAAAATAACAGGAGAAACAAATAAAAGCAATAGCCATTATCACGGCCTGTAAAGGAATGGAACGCTCTATTCAGGGCTCTGTCAAGTGTTTTGTATGTGTTGTTTAGTTTTAAAAAACGCACACAAATTAAGAAACTGGAAGCAGCAAAACAAAAGGTTATTATAAAGGAAGATTAAAGGTTATTACAAAACAACAACAACAACAACAAGCAAAACCCTCCAGAAATATGGTATCATTAATTTGTGAATTTCTCATCTGTAAAACATTTAATTTGTGCATAAAAGTTTAGACACCAATGCTTTGAATGTTCCAAAAGAGCAGCATGTATTGAGTAAGTAATATTACACAACTCAATATTTTGACAGTCTACTAGGTGCTAAGAACGAGGCAAGGTGCTTTCATAATACAGATATCTTCATTTGAATAGGCTCATCTAGAACTCTTAGGTTTACTGGCAAGATGCGCTTCCAAGAAACAGAAATGCGCCCTCAACAAGGAACACTCCATGCCTCCGAGTAAGAGGAAATGGCGACATGCACCAGGCTGATTTCAAAACCATGCAGCTTACTATTGTCTGCTAGGTGCTTCTCCTTCTCCTTTTTTGAACCAGAATATCTACTGCAGTTACTCTGAACCTCTCATCACTGCATGCTGGGTGTGAGGAGGGCCGGTAACTTTTTACTTCCCAGACCTCTGGATCCAGGAGTTCCTGATGGGCACCTACACCAGAAAATGCATCCAAGGAGCCTCCCTGGCACCTGGAAGTAGTTTGGCAACACCTCAGATTTCGAGCCAGGGCCAAAAGGGGTGAGACTCTTGGGGGTGAGAGGAGCGAATGTGACATGGGGAAGAGAGGTGAAGTAACGGTGACAGCTGGTGAACTGTGGTAAGTTACTTCCACAGATGACTCCAAGTCCACATGCCCTCTGGCAATGGGATTTTGCCACTT